GTCGATTTTCCTTTGTATGGTTTCGATATGACTCCCCATCTTGCTCATAATGGGGTTCAAACGCATAATAACGTGAGTAGTTTAGGTGGTCTAGGCTGGTCACCTTGGAAAAAACCTAGACCTCGTCAACAAAATATCCCAAAATATGACGAAAACGTTTATGATCTTTATGCAATTTGTAACCATCATGGACAAGATTTACAGGGAGGTCATTATACCGCATTTTGCCGAAACCCATATGATACTCAATGGTATTGTTTCGACGATACCCGAGTAGAAGCCGTAAATGATACTAATTTAATAACAAATGCTGCATACATGTTGTTTTATCAACGTAGAGGGTTAACTAATAATTCTGGTAATTCTTCAGCCGCATCTACAAGTTCTGCCGGGTCTGGACTTGATCATTGGGTTTCAAAAATGCCACCATTTTATTTTAACAATAAGACTAATAACAATGTTTCAAATAACAATCAAAGCAAATCACAGGAAGTGTTGTGTCAAGATAAAATCGTAGAAGAAAAGAATATAACGAATTTTAATAGAGGATGTCGTAATTATGCTACTTTGCAACCGAAGAAAAGAAATGTTGCGACAGAAACGGATATTAGCCAGATCGATCACTATTCAGATGATGAAGCACCTTGTAGAAGAGAATGGGTAAATTCATATTATCGATATATATAATTTTAATTGTAGATGATTTAATAATATTATTTTACATTTATATATAATTTTTAGGCTTCGCCAAAACCTGTTCGAAAAATGTCGTCCATTACGTTAATACCGCAATCTACGATAATTCATAGTGCCAGTAGTGATCCAGACACAACAATAATACACGAGTCAACGTTGTAACACACAATTTAAGCCAGATTAGATCTGGCTCGAGCAACGCTCAATGTATAGTGCCTGGAATGGTGTGTGAAAGATCAGAAATAAATTAGAAATAAAGAGTAAAAATAAATACAAAAATATATAACAACTTTTCGCGGAATTTAACTCCATTCATTTCTTAAAAAAAAGACTTAATGTAGTCTATTTAGAAACAAATATGAAAATCTTTCACTTTGAATTTATACATATAAGAAAGCTTTTCTTTTATATTAAGCATCGACCGAACAAAGAATATCTAGAGTCTCTCTAATTTCTTTGTTTTGATATTGAAAAAAGAAAAAATAGAAAGTTACAATATTAGATGAATATTTTCTGAAAATGTAAATGAAACTCGAGGCATTAGTGATTTTTGTATTTATATCGTATTTACAAATTGCGTGAATTGTATTGTACATTCTAGTTGTTAGAAAACTTTTTAAGAAAAGGACAAATATTCAGTATCAAAAAGTATGAATCCCTTATTTACATGCTGTCTATTGTTAATACTTAGATTTTTTTCAATGCAATAGGTAACTAATATTTTACATATGTCCAACAAGAATGTACATGTGTCAAAGAAACTTTGTACGCGACTTTTTTCTCGAATTTGCGGATCGAATATCATATGCGTCGTGTTGCAATGAAACTATGACAATAACTGAATCTTATTTAGCAGGATTCATGTATTACAATGACTTTCTTTTCAATAATAATTCTTGTTTGGACATATTATATAGTTGCTAATCATTGCTTTGAATTTATGCTTAATTATAATATTTATATCATATTTGTATCACCTACTAGTGGCCTTATCTCAGTAATTAATATTAATATGTCATTTGCAATCATACAAGCATAGTTACTATTTTGACAGCGTTTTATTACCAAACATTGACATTGTATCGTGAAAGCCACCAAATTGTAACATATATATCATTAATTCTTTGGATTCTAATGAATCGACGACCAAAAAAATCAATATACTTCCATTTAAAAGTCTCGTTCTTCCTCTAATAATCGGCATAATTAAATTTTGTTATTTGAAAAAGATAATATGTCGGTTCTTAATAGAGTGGCTTTCCTAATATTCTTCAGCGATGTCTTTTTTTGTATTTTAATCTCAAATACTCTAATCTCTCAGTTGTAACGAGCATTCCACTTATTGTTAGATTTGTTTATAAATAGAAGATGATGAAAAACAGAAGCATGAAAGTGAAACAAATTTATATATATTCATATACACGTAGGTGTATAATTTGTGAGTGAAAGATATTTAAGTTATTTTAAAAGTAACATTTATTACTAGTCATATGTATCGTGGACGGGATGTGGCGACTAAAGAATGTATGTGACGAATTGTAACACAATTAATATCGAATTCATTATAATAATATAAAAAAAGATGTTTGATTGAAATAAAAAAAAAAACGTAAGGTATAGCTTGATATACATATTTTAAAGGCGTTTACACGTAAATTGGTTCCTGTGACAAGATTAAATAAGTGCCATGATGGTCTTAGAGATATAATACTCAATAAAAATTCAAATATTTTTATACTCGGTTTAATAACGATTGTTCTTTTCAAATTTAGCAATTGAAAACTTAAATATCTTAAAAATTAATCAATAATCAATAAACTATATGTAAATAATTATAGTAAAGAAATGCAATTTTTCTATAAATATTCCAATTACTGGATTTGAAAAGAGATATCACATTAAATGATCGAGTATTATTCAGTTCAAAATAAGAAGTTCCCTTCGTGGCATTTAATAAACTGCATGATAGAATGAATGCGTAGAATGTGTGATAAACAGAAGTAAAGGAAAGCCACTACCCGTTTATTATTCTATGATTTTAGAATTTTGTGCATTCACGTTAATCGACTGAGGGATATGTTATTAATTATATTATCGCTGTTTTTGTTGAAATAAATTAGGAAATGTATATATAAATGAAAAAAAACGTCATTCCACTTTGTGCACGCTGAATTATGTCAGCTTTGATCTATGATTCTAAATACTTCGCGTTTTTTGAAGTAACTGTTGATGCTTGTTATGTTTATAGACAATTAATTGCCACGCTTTTTATAATTTTTCAAGAGCACGCGTGGGAAATTCCCTTGCATCAATTCAGAAATTTCAATGTGGAAAGAAAATATCGACCAATTGTATACTAGTCTAATATATTTTATTGTAGTCTGCGAAATATATAATAATTTGTTGCATATTGAAGAAATTTGTGAAAAGATAAATATCAATTATGTCGAATTTTATTTTAATTATATCAGTTTATGAATAATAGAGTATAGATCAAATAGATAAAAAAGCAAATTTGAATTCGAAATGAGATATTGTATAATACTATTATTCAAGTCTAATGTAAAAAGTTTATAAATAATTAGGAATAAAATAAATCGTAATATACAGAGATTTGTCAATAAAAGTAATATTCATACATAAAATATTTGGAATATAGTAATTTAAAGAAAAATTATGTATTTGACTATTATTTACATTAAAATTCGATTATAAAATATGCGTTCATTTTAAAAATATATATTGATCCCAATTCTTTTGTTATTTAATAAAAATATAGTATTTATTTTGTTATACTTGAGAAATATGTAGTAAAATTAATTGTTTTTAATTTAGTAATAAACAAATTATAAAAAAATTATATAAAACAATATGATTTATATAAAAAAATATTATATAATAAATATATAAATAATTTAATAATATATTAAAAATTTAATATTCAGTATTTAATTTGAATTTTATATTTTCGCGCCATTCAATGCTATGGAGTATATATAACTATTAATAAAAAATTGTTTATTACTTTTACTTTATTTAT